CTACACTTATTTTCCATAGGTTTACCACCAGATCATCCTAACTATCAGCACTCCTACTTATGCAAAGCTCTGTTGATAGACCAGGACAAGCTGCAGTAGATGGCTGAACTCTGACAATCATCCTGAAAAAAAAACAGGAGGCCATGAAATCCATTAATCCTTACACTGACCACAGCATTTAACAGAGTATAGCCATATGTTTAATCCTCTTAACAGAGACCCCTAAATCCTTGGCTGCACATTTTTCTTATCTTAACTGAAGTTTCGATTCTAAATTAGGGTTAGACTGACAGCTCAAAGGAGTAATTTGGAAAACAGCATTTTTTTAAACCCATATGGTAGTGGAAGTTTTACGGCTTATTTAAACAGATGGGTTTGGAAACAATAAGCATTGTGCAGAAAGATTTCCTAAGCCGAATGGTAAACAAACAAGTTTTGAACACTGTGTAGAGGGATCTTGAATAGGCATAGGTTGGAGACGGTGGTGTGGAAACTGAAGTTTCACCATATAACAGTAAAAATACCAGCCTAGTGCTGATCCAAAACTTTCCCAGCTGCATTTTGAGTCTTTTTTCTTCTGCAGACAAGACTGAGCACATATTTCTATCTCTGACCAGAATAACAAGCATGGAGGTGAGCAGCTGCTTCACAATAAATATAATTTCTTTTTTTGTTTGGTATCAGTTTCAAGGCTGCTTGGATTATGTTTAAATCATTTTAAGCATACTGGTTAACAGCTGAGACAAATGCTCACAGCAGAAACCTGAAGGATTTTTTCAGATTAGACATAATTCAGCTTTTCCTTTGAGCTCTGGTTGAGCAACATACCAAAAGAAGAAGGCAACAGCTCATTGAGATCAGCTGACCAAAGAAAAGCCACTATTGCTGAACCATATTTATATTTACCTCACAGATCCTCAGTGTAATAACAGCAAAAATTGCTGCACAATCATTTTTGTTCTAGTTACCCTAATAGAGGTGGACTTGTTTTTACCAGAGAATAAATAAATAAAATGTCAGGACACCTGCAGCCTTAAGCAATGGGTTTTAATCAGTGCCTTCTTTATGTGGCTCCGAAATGTTTAACCCCTCTAGTATGCTAGCAAACATTAGCTTCCATCGCTGCTAAAGCGTTTTTAAGAGAAATATAAATAAATAGCTCCGTTTCCAGTGTAACGTTATCTCAAATAGAGCCATAAAACTGGCTAGTTTCGCATATTTGGGAAAACGTGTTATTGACATTACCCTCTTTCACTCCAGGTAGTTTTTTCTGGTCGATGCTAACGTTACATTCAGCCATGTCGTCACCGGTAACAACTCAAAAACCGCTGACTTTCCAAGGTTTACGGCGGTCCGGTGATTGATCGCCTTTGCGCGTAAATCCCGGATTGATGGTCCAGGTGGTGGACTGCCGTTTTGATTAGTTTCGGTCGCCACCCTCCGCCGATACGTCGCTGTTGAAGCTAGCGTGTCAAATTTCCGCCGAGCGTCCCTCCCTCCGAGCCTGGACGTTTCCGTCAGCCAAACCATAAAGCTAACGTGAGCTAGGTCACTTCCGGAACATTGGTTTCAAAATAAAAGTTTTTTTGTTCCACTACGTGAACGAGTACATATAGCCTCCTCTTCTGCTAGACTTCTTGACACGTTTATACATTCAAGATGAAATAAAATAATTAAAAAAAGCTGTTGTTTTGCACATATATGCCCCACATTCTTTCATTTATACTCCATTGAATATTATGTTCAGGCATGCCCTGTGCCAATGTAAAATAAATGTAATGTAGTATAATGTTCTACAATGTAAAATAGAATGAAAGGTTAAAAAAGGAATAAAAATTCTTGAAAAATGTCAAAGCAATTTGGTCAAACTCACTAGGCACACTGACAGAAGGAGATAAAGGCCTTCTGACCTCCATCAGTGGATAATGCAGGTGAAGTGTCTTGTCCAAAGACACAATAACGGAGAAAGCAGAGCTGAGATCCTGCATCCAGCACCTCTGTTGATCAGCAAAGAAGGGGAAATGTGGGAGTATTGTCTCTCACTCAGGGGCAAACTGAAGTGCAAGGCTGATGACTGCTGGAGTTTGTTAGTTTTCTGTAGAAATTGATAAGATGAAGCACAAAATGAAAATAAGACCAAAATAAAAATTATAACATCCAAAATAACACAGATAAAAATAATTATAAAACATTTAAGAAAAAAAAAAAAACATTCTTCATGGTGGCAGCTGCTATTCTTGTTACCTTGTGGAAAAAAGGAGGCCCTGACAGGAGTTAAAAGTAGATGAAGTCAGAAATGAATGTAAACAAATATAAATCAGAGACACAGTCCGACACTATCACGATTTTTTGTAAGAATCCCTTGTTCTAAAGTCTATCAGTCTATCAGTTTACTTATTAGAATCCTCCCCCGAAAAAAGAATAATTTGAAAGTCCAAATAAACCAACTTCCGGTATGAGTCCGGCTACATGTGTTTACTTTGACACATCTCGTTTTGCTTTTGCTCCTGCAGCACCTGCACCTTCAAAAGGTTTCTACTCTAAGGACACGTTCGGGTCGGTGGGAGGAATCCAGAAAAAAGACGATGCCGGGGACACTTCAATGTTGAGCGTGTAATAGAAAAATGTTTTCGAAGAAAAAAAAAAAAAAGACAAAATAAAAATAACAAAACACAAACGCCCCAAAAAATTTATTGCTTTGAATTTCTTGGCCTCCATTTTCATTACTTAAAGTAACCTACAGAACCATTTATCACATATTTGGATGATGTTAATGTGTATACTGCTTCCTTTAGTGCTTATAGCTGCAAATATACATTTTTGTTAATTTACTTACAACATAATTTTACAGCGTGTGTTTAAAATAATACTGTTTATTTATTTTATAAAGCGACAGCCTACAGCCCCAGAATCTATCGCTCAACTGAAAGGATCACAGCATATTGTATAGCTAAGTATTCAGTTCAAAACACACCATTATCTTTTATCAGTGGATGTCATTACAATAACCAGAAATGTAAGAAAGAAAAAAAAGAAAAAAAAAACATCAAGCTATCATCTATCTTCCAGAAAAAAAATCTAAGGATGTTTTTGATATCGTCTCTTGAATAATATTTTGAATTGATGTTTCTTTTACTTGTATTCAGCTTCCGGGAACCCTAGAGTTACTCAAATAAATAAAGAACAAATACCTAAAAATAAACCAGCCAGAGAGACAGACATACTGTTTGTATTATTGAGACTCGCTGTTTTTACACCATTTAATCATTTCAATGTTATTTTCTATCTGCGGAGCCTGCTGTGTTATTTAGAGGTTATGTGAATATACAATAAACAATATAGGTTTATAATCACAGGAAATACTAGTCCAAAAATGTATACCACCTATAGTGATTTTAGGTATTAGTACCTTTATATGGTGTGAAAACAGGTTTTAAAATGTGTATCTATTCTACGTGAATCTGTTACTATATAATGTATTTTTCTTTATTTTAACTTTATATATATTTTTAATCAACATCAGATATTTGTATTTTTCTTATTACCTGTTTTTGTACACTGCATGTCATTAATACAGCATCACAGAGTTGGTCTGAAGTATTGTTTTTACAAAAAATATATTTTAATCTTTTTTGAGTGACTATTTTCTTACTTGGTTTAAAACCAAATAAAGGTACTATTACTTTAATAGAAGTGTGTCTGTCTGGTGGACAGACTTCTTAGGAGCGCATGCATCTTCATACAGAAACAACCACAGCCCTTCTTCTTTGAGGAAAACAGTTTGAATGTAGTTTAATCCTTGTATAAATACAACAAATCTATAAAAGGAATCTTTCAGGGAACAAAAAAAAAAAACACATGAGGACTTAATAAGAAAATAAATGTTGGAGAAGCTTTTTGCCTTCATGCTTTATGTAATGTGTGACTGAAAATTAACCCTGCACATCACGCCATCCAAAACTTGGGATGGTGGTAGTGTTATGCTGTGGGTTCTATGCGGTTCTTCAACAGTGACTGGGAATCTTGTTTGAGTAGATGGAAAAATGAGAAGGCTATAGGGTGATGGAGTTAGAGACAATGTGTTAATGCTGGATGATGCTTTGCAAGCTGCCTAAAACTGGAATAAAGGTTTGTGCTTCTGCAGTGTAATAACCATGAACAATGTAATGGTTTGGATTAGAGCTTGCCCCTGTAATGAGACAAAGAACAAAAGGGTTAGGGTGTAGAAATGTATTTATATAACATGGTAAAACATAATTTGTATAAAGCTTTCAATTCTTATCTTACAGAATAATTAAGGACTTATTCTTGTGTACTGTAGACTGAGGCCTGTAATACTTAAACATAAAGCAAAACACATTTTCTAAGCATAAATAGTAAACTAAATAGTAAAGAAATGATTTGCTAATCTTATTTAGATTGCTTCCTAAGTAGTTTTACTTTACATTACCTGAAATTATATTGAGCTGACATTCATGCTTGTCAGATACCAGTATATCTTGATTGTGGTGGTGGGAATTTAAGAGTTAAATGACTGGAACTGAGATGAGTGGCATTATTTCCTTGATGTGCAGGGCAGAATGTGGAGACCGAGCAGGTGTTGACATGGTCTCAGTGATGGATATTCCTTCTCCCCTGAATCAGTCCTAAAGATTGAGGAGTTAATCTCTTCCTATGGCACTCCAACTGACCAAACCAATTCACTTACCTCTTTTCGCCCAGACCAACACACTCAGATGTTGCTATTTAAAGAAGCAATTAAGGTAAAAGACAAACACGTGTAGGTGCCAAGAACATTTGACAGAGGTCTTTCATAACCAAGCGGCTGATTGATAACTTCCCTCAGTTTGATTGGGCCATGTCAAGGTGATGGAGGGTTACTGGTCTGCAAGTGCAACGTCAGAGCCCCGTATTTCATTCAAGCGCTTCATGGTCTCTTTCAGATTGTTGGCTGTTGATGAAGTCCAAGACACCTGACTACACGTTGATTTAAGACACAAGGAGAAAACTGGCTCCTCCTCTCAGCTAAAAATCATATAAATGTATACTGACGGCATAGACTCAAAGTAGAGGATTCCTTGTGTTGTGTTAAGGGGTTCATTTAGGACAATTCTCCGAGTGCCATGGACAGGTTCACAGTCGCAAACTGCTGTTTGGGACTCCTTGGTTTGCTGTTACTGCAAGGAGTGATCAGTTCGGAGGGGAGTAGCATATTTACCTCTGGTAAGTTTACCAAAAATGTTGTGTTCCATCATGGAGGAGAACTAAAACATGTTCAGACATTATAGACATGCACCTTGACTTCATGTTTGAACTGTTTTTTTTCCTTAACTTGGAATTTTCATGTGCTTTCTGTTATCAGGAAACCAACTTTTTAATCTCAAAGATGACCCAGAGATTCAGCGTAAGATTCTTTCACTTCTGTTTCACAAAACTTTGGCTCCAATGGAAAGGGAGGACCTACTGGGTATGTTGAGTTTTTAAATGGAGATACTGCTTCTAGAATCAATTGACAACATAACATAACATCCAATAATAAATGGGTTTCCACTTGTAGGTATGGAGCTGGGTAATAAATTAGCTGATCTCGAGGAGGTAAGACCTTTTTCTCTTTTGGTCAGGAAGTAGGATTTCTTATCCTTGTGCTGATTGATTTGATGTCATCTTTTTATGTATTTCTTTTTATTTTTATTGTGTTACTGTCATTTGAAATACCTGCTTTCCTTTACTTCCCCTTTTAATGTTCTTATAAATTCGTATAGTGACCCTTGGCTTGCTTATATGAAGTGTGATGAAATTAGAGCTGCAACTAACTTTTTTTGCAAATCCATAAATCTCATCTCAATCTATTATTTTTTGGAATAGTTGATTAATTGATTAATAATCAGATAGACAAAGGTTCCTTTAAGAAGATTTTTATACAAATTAATCCAGGTTTTGGTTGTAATCCACTTTTGGAGTTCTGGATAGAGCATATTGACACCCTATTTTTTTTTTTTATCTTAAACGCAAAATGTTTTTATTTTTTTTCCAATCTTTGTATAATTACTGCTCAAGGTGGGTTGCTCTGTCAGCTAAAGGCACGTTTTAGAGTCTCTATACTCCAGTTAATGATTAATCGATTACTAAATTAGTTAATGATTACTTTAATAATCGATTAATCAGATTAATTGTTTTAGCCTTCGTTGAAAGCACAGCAACATTTCTTGAACTCTCTTAAAATATGTGGCAAAAACATGGTACCAAGTGAAAATCTTTTTTTAAAGTGACATAAAATAGAATAATAAAATATTTATCCTTTGAGATTTGATTGGTCTATTCTATACTTTAAGCTGCGTACAATGTGGGAAGACCTAGAACTGGAGAGGAAGATTTCTACTAATGTAGCAGAGGAAAAATCCATCACAACAAAGCGTGGGGAACGTAAGTAAAAGTCCCACTATTCAAAATGATGAAATGTTAAACTCTGTAGTTATTTTGTAAAACTAATTTGTTGTGTCTCTCTCCCATTATCCACAGCCTGTTTTTGGAAATATTGTGTCTGACACTGACTAAAGGGGAAGATAACCACCATGGAAACTTGCTGCAGTGTTCAGCATAGCCTTAAAACCTGCTAACACCAGTAATTTAACCACCCTGTATTTATTCCAGCAATATAGCAATGTACATTTCATGTACCTCCTAGATACTGTCATGAAGCCCCTGAGTCATGTTACTGTACATATTGTCTGACAGGAATTTTATTATGTAACAAACTGAATCTATTTTACCTCATCTGGATTTCTAATTTAACTATGTTTGTGTTTTCATTGCCCTCATCTGGCAGAACTTGACAGAACTTTTTTTTTTTTTTAAAGAACCAACAATAACCTCACTTTTCACTGTTGTTAAAAAGAAACTGTGTTCATTTTTTCAATGTAAATAGGATTTCAATGTCTGTCTATGATTTTTGTTTTAAAAATTCAGAAAAACATTAAAAAATTGCAACCTCTGTTATGTAAATCCTTTTAAATGGAACTCTATTTTTTGTGTGTGCAAGTTTTGGATTTTTTTTTTTTTTTTTTTTTTTAGAATTTCTCAGTTGTTAATGTGTTTAACAATATCTTTAAAATGTGGTAATAAACATGACACACCTTCAGGATGCTAATTTGCCATAGAGACAACTGGATCTTTACCAAAGCCTAGTTGGAACCAGCTGAGTGCTGCAGCAAATATTGTCATGCTTAACACTGCAAGCCTGTAAACTTAAATGAGATACGACTGGCTCAATGCTGCAACAAAATAATTGGAGACTAGGCCACATGCAAAGATACAAAAACTAACATTTACGAAAGGGGAAGCAAAAACTTAAAACTATTAGTAACGGTAATAAAAATGAGCATCAGCAGCAGAAGCATAGAAGCATCAACACATCGACCAGATAGATGAGAAGAGAGCACACATACAGGGACATAATAATAATCTGAAAAGTGAGGGGGGCATATTTTTTGTGATCTTTTGATGTGTAATCTCTTGCTTTTCATTAAACATCTCTTTGTGAATAAGGAAACACAAAATCCCCAACAGCCACAGCACAGCCCCAGGAGACCGACTTTTGTTCCTTAAACAAACAACATTTGAAGTTTTAGCTAAGAAACTCTGGTTTGATTGTCATAACTATCCTTTCTACATCTACAGCTTAAGTAGCCTGATCTCTAAGTTTGAAATTGCAGCCCTGGACACGAGATGTCTGGTAAAAACCCTTTCCTGTAAGCAAGATATTACTTAGGCCATGCTATAAAATGGAAATGACACAGTAATAAGCCAAATGCTGACTGCGTAAATGTTAAAAGACGTAGTCAGACTCCTACATCCGAGAAACCACAGCTACACAAAACTTAAAGACAAAGCTTATACAAAGAAAAAAATATTTCAATGGCTCAGGAAAACAACTCTGTTGATTTGCTTGGAATTTTACTGACGGCGTGCTTAGGAAGATGGGCCTCTAGGGGCTTAAAAACATCAGCAGTCTTTCTACAGATTCCAGGATTGGTTTAGTAATGCTTTTAGACAAACTGAGTGATTTAGTTTAGATTTAGTTTAAGCCTGACTTGTGGTTGCCTGAGATTTTCCACAGGAACACATACTTTCATTTAAGTAGGAAAGTTACTTATCCACAATTAACTCAATTTTAACAGACATGTAATACTGGTCTAGATAAATAAAAATGACCCATACCTGCTTCCTTAGAAAGCAAATAATGCAGAAGTTAAATATCTAACAAATGTAACAAATGAATGTAAGGTCTAAATATAAGTATATATAACAAATTACATCTTTTCTTGCCAGTTTTTGCTTTAGTCATCTCTGCATTCAATTTACAAAATATTATCAGTTCTAGATTTATGTTATGCACAACGTAGCAATGGTACGACCAAAATAAAATATAGCAAAAAATATAAGTATTTGTTGCCAATTCTCTATAGTTAAGTAACTGTAATTCAATAAATATGATATTACCATTTATGAATGAAAACATACATTTGTATCTGTTATAGGCCAAATCTCTATCTGATTTTCTTTCATAGGAATAAAGAAATCTTGCGCAAAACGTACACATGTATTAGCTAAGAGAAACATGTATCTGTGCCTCGTTTTAGCTGCAATTATTAGCTGAGAAATGTATCTCCTATTTAACAGTTTATTCAATTTATCTGTGTGGGTAATAAGACGGCACTGTTCCAGTGCTAAAGCCTGGTGTCATCTCTGCCTTCTACTACCCATTACAAAACAGTAAAAATGAAAGCCATAGTGAGCACAGGTTCTACATACATAGAAATTAAAGTGTTGGATTTATTGTAACTGTGAACTAATTATCAAGGTTTAAGACATAGGGAACAGCACTAGTAGTTAATTAGATTAGCATGATTTGCTGGCAAGTATTAACAAGTAATTTAGCTGTCATCATGCAACAGCAGTGCTCAACTTAGATGGCTTGTTTCTAAAAACTGATGGTGAGGGACCGAGCCAGCCAAGCATGAGGTCACAGTGGTGATTATCAAGAAAAATTGGTTTTATTTCCCCAAAGTAACAAAGAATCCAAACAATAATGACAGGTTCCTTAAAAGAGGTAAAATAAAGAGACTAACTTAAGGCAAAAAATACCAAGGTTAAACATAACAAAACTTCAAACTAACTGCACAAACAAAACTGACCTGACACACAACAAACAAAGGGAACTTAAATACTGGCTGATCAGACAAGACTGATACACTGAGGAAGAGGTAAGGAGAACATCTACACAAATTTAACAAAAATAAAGAAACAGTTAGCTTAAGGATTAAACTTTGATTACTAATAACTAAACAAAATTGACAAAATGAGCAAATCACAAAAGAAAAAGAAAAAAAGATTATGCAGCATATTAAAATGTGAATTCCATAGTCTTCCCCCATAGTGGAACTCAAGATGGTACCACCCAATCAGTCAATGAATGTGCCAGCCAGAGTCTTTTGCATTCTCTCAGTTAAAGGTATTCCCCACAACACCAGAAAAGGAAGTACAAATAATATTAAGCATTTGACAAAATTAAATATACAGAAGTTAACCAAATGTGCGCGCTACAATTGGAACTAGGTAGGGTAGGACAAAGGCACACAGAAAGTGGGGTGTGGACGTATCTTATCCCTCCCCCTGTCACCCATATATATATATACAGGTGCTGGTCATAAAATTAGAATATCATGAAAAAGTAGATTGATTTCAGTAATTCCATTTAAAAAGTGAAACTTGTATATTATATTCATACATTACATACAAACCCATATATTTCAGATGTTTATTTTGTTTAATTTTGATGATTACAAATGACAACAAATGAAAATCTCAAATTCATCATATCAGAAAATTAGAATATTACTGAAGACCAATAAAAACAAAGGATTTATAGAAATGTTGGCCAACTGAAAAGTATGAACATGAAAAGTATGAGCATGTACAGCACTCAGTATTTAGTTGGGCCTCCTTTGGCCTGTATTACTGCAGCAATGCGGCGTGGCATGGAGTCGATCAGTCTGTGGCACTGCTCAGGTGTTATGATAGCCCAGGTTGCTCTAATAGTGGCTTTTAGCTCTTCTGAATTGTTGGGTCTGGTGTATTGCATCTTCTTCTTCACAATACCCCATAGATTTTCTATGGGGTTAAGGTCAGGAGAGTTTGCTGGCCAATTAAGAACAGGGATACCATGGTCCTTCAACCAGGTACTGGTAGCTTTGGCACTGTGTGCAGGTGCCAAGTCCTGTTGGAAAATGAAATCTGCATCTCCAAAAAGTTGGTCAGCTGCAGGAAGCATGAAGTGCTCTAAAACTTCCTGGTATGTGGCTGCGTTGACCCTGGACCTCAGAAAACACAATGGACCAACACTAGCAGATGACATGGCACCCCAAACCATCACTGACTGTGGAAACTTTACACTGGACTTCAAGCAACGTGGATGAAGTGCCTCTCTTCTTTTCCTCCAGACTCTGGGACCTTGATTTCCAAAGGAAATGCAAAATTTACTTTCATCAGAGAACATGACTTTGGACCACTCACCAGCAGTCCAGTCCTGTTTCTCTTTAGCCCAGGCAAGACGCTTCTGACGCTGTCTGTGGTTCAAGAGTGGCTTGACACAAGGAATGCGACAGCAGAAACCCATGTCTTTCATACGTCTGTGTGTGGTGGTTCTTGAAGCACTCACTCCAGCTGCAGTCCACTCTTTGTGAATCTCCCCCACATTTTTGAATGGGTTTTGTTTCACAATCCTCTCCAGGGTGCGGTTATCTCTCTTGCTTGTACACTTTTTTCGACCACATCTTTTCCTTCCCTTCGCCTCTCTATTAATGTGCTTGGACACTGAGCTCTGTGAACAGCCAGCCTCTTTAGCGATGACCTTTTGTGTCTTGCCCTCCTTGTGCAAGGTGTCGATGGTCGTCTTTTGGACAACTGTCAAGTCAACAGTCTTCCCCATGATTGTGTAGCCTATAGAACTAGACTGAAAGACCATTTAAAGGCTTTTGCAGGTGGTTTGAGTTAATTAGCTGATTAGAGTGTGGCACCAGGGGCCATCAATTTTGAACCTTTTCACAATATTCTAATTTTCTGATATGATGAATTTGAGATTTTCATTTGTTGTCATTTGTAATCATCAAAATTAAACAAAATAAACATCTGAAATATATGAGTTTGTATGTAATGTATGAATATAATATACAAGTTTCACTTTTTAAATGGAACTACTGAAATCAATCTACTTTTTCATGATATTCTAATTTTATGACCAGCACCTGTATATATATATATATATATATATATATATATATATATATATATATATATATATATATATATATATATATGGGTGAAATATACATGCATGCTGGTTGTGCAAGTTCTCTAACTTAAAAAGCTGAGAAAGGTGTGTCATTTTGTTCATAGTTACACCTTAACTATCAGACAGAACCTCATCTCCTTGTAGCATAACCCCTGTTGGCACCAAAGGAGGTCAAACCTTTCCAGTCAGTTCCAGTCAGGTTTGCTCACACTGGTATTTGGGCTCATTCCTCCATGCAGATCTCCTCTGGGTCAGTGATGTTGGAGCTGCTGCTACACAGTCTTCTTGAGACTATCATTGCCACTCCAGTATCTTAGAATATGTTGCCAAAGCAGTGTGTTTGATTAAGACCCTGTTATTGTCCACCTGCAAATCAATGACTGTTGGAAAAATATTTTGGCCTAACTAAAAAAAAAATTATTAAAAAAGATACATGTCCCTGTTCATTCCTTGGTGAATAAGTATCAATTCTCCCCTTTATAGAAAACGATCCCAGAGAATGACATTTCCACCCACGTGCTTCATAGTAGATATGGATGAAACTAAACAGTCTTCTGTCTTCAGAGAAAAAAAAAATGATTTAGATTTCATCTTATATTTTCCCAGTCCTCTTCTGGATCTTCCATATGCTCTCCTGCAAACTTTAGGTAGTCAAGGACATG